TACATATCTAAATAAATGATCCTAAATAAATGACTCTGGTAAAGCCTGAGCCATTTCTAGTCTCTGCTCTCCAATTTGAATAATTCAACTTGCCACCTTCCCAAGACAAATGAAGAACTTCTGCACCCTTACTCCACTCCAGACAAGGGTCTTCTGTGATTTTTGTCAACTGCACAGCTCTGGGCCATGAAATAAAGAAAACAAAAATAATAGTTTGTAAAATTTGACAGCCAGAGTCAAATTATGATACGGATGAAGCTTTACCTAGCTAAATGGGATCAAATCAAAGCAGAGAATTCAAAAAAATGCTCAAGTCTGCAGGATTTACTTCATTACCAATCACTGCACTCCTGTCCCAAACACAACATGTCCGTATTCAGATGACTAATATCATAAACTGTTAATTGTCTGGAAGCAACTATTTTTTTAGGGGGTTGACACAACCTGATGAGTCTGCCAAATTGTGTGAAAATTCCTGATGCAGGGAATTAAAGCTGTATTCCAGTGCACAGGATCCCAGGAAGGCTATGCTGAAGTTGATAAAAGCAAAACAGGCAAAAAAACCAGGTAAATGAGGAGACAATGTTTTGTCCGTGGGGCTTTACCTAGTCCTTGTGGAAAATGCACTACAAACTTAGCAGTATGTGCTATTTCTAGCCTGCAGTTTATGAATAGGGCTTTCTCTCCTGCTTCTAAGTCTCCTTCATTTTGCAGGCTGTGTGCTAAAGCATCAGCAATCTTGTTCCCTTTTCTCTCTGCTTGCAGGCTGTCAGGCAAACACAAAATTCTCCCCAATGGTGCGAGTCAGCGCTTTGGTGCTGCTGCCTGCCCCTGCTGATGGCTGGGCTGGCTGGCAGATTTGCTTGGGCTGCCTTGCGTGTCCCACGCAGGCTGTGTGGGAGGGGATGCCTGCGTGCTGCTCAGCTTCTACCTCATTCACAAGGCTGGCACCAAACGGCCAAAATATTCACGTACAAAAGTACGTGATTATGGAAATGCTGGATTGCGTGTGAGGGGAATTCTGCTGGTTTGTTTCTCAGAATCTACATCTTGCCTGCCTTTGTGTAAGATTTCAAAAGCAGTTTGGCTGAATACATGAGTGTTTTTGTTTGTTTTCTCATTGCGTTGATTTTCTTTTCCAAGAGCTATTTTTTCTTTCAATAAATAACAACAAAGATGGCCAAGGCCGACAATGCAGATGATCAGCAAGGATGATATTGTCATCCTGTGTCAATCGGTTCAGGGTCTGGTGAAATAAACAGTCCCTTGGGAATGTCAGTGCTTCATCAAGACCAATTAGTGTATCTGCCGCTGCTGCTTATGTTTAAGCATTAACGACTGGGCAGGGCTGCTTTTTGGAGTGCCTGACACTGGCATGGAACAAGGCACCGACCTAATTACTTCTCTACAAGAGCAGAAAATGCCTCGTGAATGCCTGCTTGGCAAGGATGTCTCATTAAGGGGGAAAAACCCAACACAAGCACTCCTAGAAACAAAAATTGAAATGATAGGTAACCTGCGGCCATGAGACTTCCTTCATGGCTATGGGAAATGAACAGAAGCTGCTGTAAGGTGATATATAGCTGTACAGATGGATAAAGGCTTCTTTGTACTTTGTTTCCTAACTCCATCTATTTTTATAATCCATAATTTTTATAATCCATAATGAGAGACAGAATGCAAACTGGCATTGTTGAAGAACAGAAAATACATTGTCGTCTTTGGTATCAATGTTAAATAGGACTTGAAGGGCATTCCTTGATGTCTCTTGTTTTATTATTCTGTTTTTTGAGGGTTTGCAAACTGGCCTAGGAAATCAAAAGGGTTTGGTAGACCTGAGCGAGGAATTTGTAATGAGACGCTTATGATATATAGCCTCTCTTTCTGCTTAAAACGATCAAGAAACAAACTGGTTTCCCAGTTCAAGAGTGGTGGCTAGATAATTTCTATTATGATAGTTTTGTTAAAATAAATCCTGAGGAGTAAGTAGAAACAGCTGCTCAGATGTTTCTTTGGTCCTAAGCAGCTCTGTTCATTCCTGACTTACAGGTGCTTCTCCTACCTTTATTTTTCTTCTCCTTTGAAGAGTGAGAGCAAATATAAGAAATTCAAAATGTGTTGTTTAATTGTGATTTGCAAGATAAATTAAATGTCATTACTTCTTTTCTTTGACTGCATGAGCACACACTCTTAAATACTGAGGTCCATTATTCATCCAGGAGGTTGGGTGAAGCACAAATTCTTACATGTTAGGCTTTGCCCAAAAGGAACATTTTTAGCAAGCAAGCTCTGAAAAATCATGTATGATAGTTCAGGAACAGTTAAACTTTGTAGGAAAAGAGGTCTCTAATGTTCGTGCAGATACACATGTGTTGTGCTTCTTGAGATCTCCTTTTTTTTGGTAGTCACCAATTTATCACAAATTGCTGAATTGTCTAGTTGGCTTCTGGATTGAATGCAGCTCTCAGGGCGATTATACGGATGCCACATGATCTTGACCTGTTTATTTCTTTGTTCCAATGCAGCCCTTTACCTTACTCCTGCTTTACCTATCTTACATCACAGAATGGCAGAGGGAGATGATCAAGAGCTGAACAGAAGACTACTTGCTAAGGTGTAGGTGGCCTTAAATGCTGTAAGATGCTTAATGCTACTTCTTAAATGCAAAAGCCTGAGTCTCTGAGCCTGCCTCTCCAGACGCATAATTTCTTCTCAAAAACTGGGATATAGTTATTTTCTTTCTTTGAGTTCAGTGGACAGCACACTCACACATCAGGTCCTAAATTCAGCTGTTTCAAGCATCTTGCTTTCAGAGGCAAAGCATGAGCCTTTTTTAAAACTGCTACCAGTGCTCTAGCAGATAGCAACGCTACAGATGTAGGTTTTCAGGGACGGGGGCAAAAGAGGCTTCCTTTCCCAGAGCATCATTGTTTCTCTCGACTGTGGTGCAGCTGCATATCCTCTGCTTCCAGTGGCATGATCACTGCATACTTGGCCTAGTGAGATTTGTGGGTCTCAAGTCATCTTTCTTCCTGTGTTTCTCTTCCTTGCTGATCTCTGAGTGAGAATGGTGACATGATTGTGTTTCAATTTGCCCTACTGAAAAGAGTCAAAATAATGCTCATAATCATTTGCCAACACGCTATAAGGCATTCTCATATAGCTGTGAAGTCTGGAAGCATTAATGGCTGTGACTTACAAACTTTTCTTTGATTAGACTCTTGCTTCTATTCTGATGAAATAATGCAGTCATGAATAACTGCAGTTTTGTTCAAGATAGTCAGGTTTCTGGGGGAGAAATGGAGGATCCAGTATCAGCAATCTACTTGCCTTTGGATCTATGTTCAGCAGTGACTGCATGAGTTCAGTATTCATCTGTTCACTCAGCTTCTTACTGCATCTGACTCCTATATTGCATCTGATACCCTATAATGCATTGTAAAATAGAAGTGCACCAAAACCCCGTTATTTATTCAGTTTTTATATGGTTCTCACGTAGTGTTAACTTCTATAGACTTTATTGCAATGTAGCTTCAGAAAGAAATACATAAAATGTAAAAGACTTCAGAATTTGACCCTGCTGTTTCCTTCAAAGCAACAATTTGGAACATGATCAGATAGTCAGGGAATAAAGATAGAAAGAGTCAGGAAAATACAAAAGGATAATTGCATTGCTCTACTAGAGGTTGATGTTAAAGGCAGAGATAGGAATTGCTTTGGCAGACCTCATTAAAAATTAATTGCATTATGCAATAGCGTTTTGTGGTTCTATAGTAGTTATCAGCTAAGGATCTTGGAGCCCTCTGCAGGCTCCACCTTATTCTGGCATTCCCTCCTGTGAGCTCCTTTTATTCTGTCTTTTTTTCTATAGACATGCAAACAGAAATGGTCAGGCAAAATGGCGATTCCACCATGGCCTGTTGGGTCTGAGTTAGATCTGAAGTTAGATCTGAGAACAGTTAATTTTCGCCTCATCATACTTCAGTCATGACATAAACTTTCCCCTTTTCCCACTGTTTTTCCCCCCAGTCATCTTGTAAAGAAACATTGCAGTAGAAGGAAACGTGTCACTCAGTCACTGATGAAATTACTGCAAAGGGGTTAGAAGAAATTTTAGAGGGCACAATCTTGGATGATTCTCTGTCAAAACAGTGTATATTTTAAGTGGGCATCTGCAGAAATCTCTTGTGTTTGGTACTCTTGAGTATTTTCATTCTTGGACTGCAGAATGGAAGAAAATGTACAAATCTGCAAATCTCTCAAAATTGAGAGACACTGTGTGTTGTGAAGGTAAAGAATATAATGCAGAATGAGTTTTGAGAATTGGAAAAATGGCTTGAAAATTGAAATTTTGAGAATTGGAAAAATAGTTGTGGGCTGAAAAGGGACCTAAGCTTTACAATGCCTTACTAGCTAATCCCTAATCAACAAGCTACTGTTTTTCCAAAACAGTCATGGTGTCTCATAAAAAGCAAACCACTAGAATATATAAACAGGTGTAGTCTGTCAGCTACTTCATTACACAAAGTAATTGTCTGATTATACTTAAAATTCGTGAAAACACTGTTGAAGTTTTGAATAGCAAGCTTCAAGGATGGTGTGAACCGAGTGAGGAGACCTCATGGAAAATGCCAGTGGAAAAAGCCCTATGTGTCACAGAGGAAAACTGAAAGAAATTTAAAGTAGTCTGAGCAAATACAAACCTCCAAATATGAAAGGAAGGACAGGACCAAGTATGTAGTGGAGAGGACAGACCTCTTATCAAATTTTCTAACATTAATGAAGTAGCATATTTGTCAGAAATGCCACGTTTTCCTGAACTGTGATTGCAGGTGGACAAGATGACTCTTTTGAAGCCACTGCTTTTGATGATTTGCTCTGTCCCCACGTGAGTCATTAGGTGTACTCTGAACAGGTGACTATTTGAAAAGAGTAGTCATAAGGATACTGCACAAACAAGTCACACTAACTTGCTATGTTTTAATTTGTTCTGCCATCAGGTCAAACTGGGAGGAGAAGCCCCAAACTCCAGTGTAATCCACATAGCCAAGGGCAGTGATGGCAGCAGTGGCAGCTGGAAGAATGTTGGTGGCAAGTGTGGAACCAAATGCCACCTTCTGGATTTTGCCAACTCAGAGCGGCCACTGGTGGTCAACTTTGGCTCAGCTACCTGACCACCGTTCACAAGCCAGCTGTCAGCCTTCAGCAAGCTGGTGGAGGAGTTCTCTGGTGTGGCTGACTTTCTGTTGGTCTACATCGATGAAGCTCACCCATCGGATGGCTGGGCTGCGCCTGGAATCTCTCCCTCTTCATTCGAAGTTAAGAAACACAGAAGCCAGGAAGAGAGATGTGCAGCTGCTCACCAGCTCCTAGAGCACTTCTCCTTGCCACCTCAGTGCCAAGTGGTGGCTGACTGCATGGACAACAATGCCAATGTGGCCTATGGAGTTTCATTTGAGCGAGTATGCATTGTGCAGAGACAAAAAATTGCCTACCTGGGGGGCAAAGGCCCCTTTTTCTACAACCTTCAAGAGGTCCGGCTTTGGCTGGAACAAAACTTCAGCAAAAGATGAAATCCATTCTTCACAGGAGTTATGTCAACAGATGTATCCCTTTAAGGTGATGCAAAAGGGAAAAAAACCGAAAACATATGCTAGTTTGAATAAAATCTTTCAGCTGATTGCAGGAGAACACATTTGATAACAATGTCAAGTGAATGTTAACTAGGAAAAGAAAACAAAACAAAAATCTAGCTCCACAGAAACATTGTCAAGGGAAAAAAAATCCCACTCCTGCTCTTGCTATGGGACAGAAGAGGTGAACAGGCTTCTCCAAAAAGGTGCTGCTGTCAAGCAGGTAGGGTGGTTAGATAAGACCTGTTTCCCAGAAGTCCCAGTCCTGGGGTGAGGCAGAGAATGTGTTTCTGCTTGGAAGGCATTCCAGGGAAAGGCAATGCTATACATTTTATCAGAAACACTTCTTTATGCCCCTGTGGCCAATGCAAGTAATCTGGGAGGAGCAGGGGGTTTGCAATTACTTTGCATACCAATGGCAGTGCAGTGTGTGGTGATTTTCCTCTCTTGGTAGAAAACATTGTTCAGAGACTTCAGGAACCACATGCGATGCATGGCACAGGCAGACTGGCTGCTCAGAGCAAGATGAACCTTTGTCTGCTGGTATTTGTTCTCTCTGTGGACACCTCTGCACAGTATATTAACTACGTAATGCTACCTTAAATGTTTGTATCCAGTGTGCAGGCCTGTGCCTGCTGAGAAAGGTGTTAAGTTCTATGGTGTTGGACCAAAAAAGACAATGGTGATCAAATAAGCCCATTACCATTTGAAAACTGAAATACCTGGACTAATTATAACACAACATTGAGAACCATCTAGAGCATGCATCATGAGACAAAACTCAGCTGATGCCAACCAAACCCTTGGTTCTGAGAGCTGACAACACACATTTATCGACGTTCTCTGGTTCTCATCTCTGTTTCTTTACCCACTTTCATCTCTTTCTGTCTAGCAATAGCTTAAAGGTAATTTCACTTTTAGTTTTTAAAAAACCCCAACTTTTTTTTTTTTTTTTTTTAATGTGAGATAATTACCTTGCATTACCTTGTATTTTGGGGATGGGGGAACTTATGCACAATTTTACCTCATTGAAATGGAAAACTATCCTGTCATTTATCCTGTTAAATGTAGTCATGGTGACTTTTACTGTCTTAGATATCTGAACCTAGTTTATAGCTATGTTAATCTGAAAGTTAAGTCATTTGCAGCCTTAGAATTGATTAGCTGCAGTTCTGCTACTGGATGAGCCGATAGTCTGTTTTGCTCATGTTCTTGAAAACCTTCCCAGAAGAGAAACAGGGAGGACAAATAGTTTGAATTAATGTGAGTGCAAAAGGTGGCAGAATTTTCATATGAATGAATATGAGGAATGGATTGTTATGTTTAAAGAGATACTGTGAACTTAGAGTACACATTAAGTTAAGTATTTCAAAAACTAAAATTATTTAATCAAGTCTGATGAAAAGGCAGATTTACAATGAGCTAACCTGTTAGAGCTGACAAATGAAAACCCATATGGAGATGGACTATCCAAGTTTTTTCTCATCTTTGGCAGAAAAATGAAACAGATAAACAGAGTAAGTGGCAAAAATCAAATTAGTTCTTTACTTTGTCATCCTGCCCATCATCAGGAATATGATGTGTTGATACTGACATAGGAAAGAATAGAAAATACTAAGTGTTTCAATTTTCACAATGCCCATTATTAGCGTGTATTTCCTCTAGCTTGGCTGTTGGTCAACTTAGCCAATGTAGGAGGAATTTGGAAATGTGTTTTCAAGCACAGATCTGAAATAATGACAGTAACATGGGTAATTTCTCCTGTACTCAGGTTCATGCTTCCCATTCTTCTCACATTTTCCTCCACACACTGTTAAACATAGACACACATGCACTTACACAGTTGGTAATGTGCATTGGAGAAGGGTGTGAAGAGTGGTCCTCAGATCTCCTAGCGAGCCCCACTTCTCAGAAGGTCTGTGTCTCTCTATGTGTGCATTTATATATGCATCCATATGTATATAATACATTTTAATGTATGTGTATACATATGCATGCACATATAAATGGTGTCTAAGACCACTAGTAATAATTATCCTGTCCTACCATTCATTAACGTTACTGTAAATCATTGCTCAATGTGGAAGATCGTTGCAGATCTTCATGACTAACTGGGATATATAACTGAATTTTTAAAACCTATTATCATAGAAACAGTAACATAGCCAGACTACATGGTTTATTTAATCCAGTGTCCTACCTCTGACTGTATCAGATGCTTCAGGGGAAGGTGCAATAATTTTTAACATACAGAACTTTTATTAGCTTCAGCCCGTACTACTTTTGCCTCATCTAAAGTGATTGTTGATGTCTCATCCCTCATGGGAGGCTGATTCTGGGTTTTGAGATATAAATATTTTGTGAGGTGGGGATTACTAAAATAAAAAAAAATCCCATTTAAGTTCAAAGAAAACCAAATGAAAACAGAATTTTTCTTTCATATTTAAATCAGCTGCTTTTCAATGTCATTCTCATCTCTTGCTGTTATATATGCTAAACCACTAAGCATAAGCGATCCCAATTTTTCTTCTGTATGTTGGTCATTATGTAATCTAAATAGAAATTTGCATACCTTTTGTGTGTTTAAGACAAACAATAACTCATATTCTTATACTGGTTCATACTCTTTTCTTGTCTCTGAATCTCTTATGTTTTTACTATACTTTCCTTTTACTCAGGTGAGTAAAGATGTAGACATTAATCCAAGTGAAAATCTGTACTGATATACCCAGCACAGCATCTTTTCCTTATTATATTCTATTCTTCAGTCATCTGAAAAATTTTTAATCCATAGTGACTCCATAGCCTTTGTAAAACTTAAACCAGTAAGTCTTTTCTTCTTTTCCTCATTATACTGTTGAAGTCTGAACTGTTTATATGGGAAATGCTAGCCAAATGTTTAACACAGCTGTTGAAACATACCTTTAGTTCAGAGGAAAGAGCTGGAATTAGTAATTCAGTTTGTTAATACCCATTTGCATATCTAAAGTTACAATTATTTTTCAAGTCCATTCTCTCCTTTTGAATTTTGTTATTTTGCTTTGTAATTCATAGATGCCTCTTCATCACAAAGTATACAGGAATTATAAAATTGGCTCCTGTAAATGGGAAAAACACATTGATTTTCCACAAATAAAAATACACAATAACTTCATTTCTTTCTTGGCAACATGTATGACTGTCCTGCCCAAAATTTAAAGATATTCCAGCCTCACTGATTACCAAGACAGAAATACATTTTGCAGAACCTTGGGTTCCTTCAGAAAACTTCTGGTTAGAAAGCAGGGCTTTCTTCTTTACTAGATATCGATTTTACTACCTTGCTAGCCTTGTCTAGTCTGCTGTGAGACTGTATTTGCTTCTGTGTCATTCTCACTGTGTCAGGGCACTATATCCTATTGCTTGAGGTGCTCCAGTGTGACATACATGTTGAGCAACAGCTCACAAAAGAGGTGCCTGAACACATTCTTGAAGGCTGCTGTATATAATAGAGACCCCAATACTCTGTCTCAACATTAGTATGGGAAACTTACAGTATTTTTCATTTTGAGCAACATAAAAAGCTATTCTGGGCTATAATTCTATACTTTCTGTGCTTAGCATCTGTATTTAGCACTGTATAAAAGGAATGTAAAACATTTTGTGCAGATGAGAAACTATAGCATTTTGCTCTTTACTTGTGTAGACAATGACATAAATTTAAGGCAGCACGAAAACATGCCCCATCTATTAAAAATAAGAAAATCTATTACTAAATATGTTGTTGAACAACTGTCTGAACACTTTGAGAAACAAAATGCAGTGATTTTTAGGAGGGTGATCTTGGTGGGCAAACCTACAACACTTCTCAAAAAGGTATTTGTGCTATGCATCCAGGTGTGTGCAGAGGGAAGTTATGTTTCTGCATGTGTGAAAGTGGCTTTTCTGTGATGTGGAGTATAGATTTAAGAGTTTTTTAAGGCTTTCATTCAGTACTATAACCAAAGCAATAGGAGGTGTCAGGTAGGGAATATTGGCCAGTTTTGTGCAACTCGCCACCACGTCTGTAACAAATCCATCATCAGCTGGGCCCAGCTTGGAGTCTTCAGTGAAGAGAGATTGGGGTGAGGCAGGGGAGGCTTGTGTGCTTATGAAGGTCGCTAACAAAAGAGTGATTAACTCAGTTAGCGTTCAGATGCCCTCACACTGGCACTCCTCTGTGCACCTTCGTGTGTCTGTGTTTGAAAGAGCTGTCTCTGGGTCTGTTCATTACATCGCCGTGGTGTAGGTGCCTGTGTGTACTATGTGTGTGTCATTGTTTAAATGACAAAAATACACTGCAGGAGAGCCAGCAAAATTTTGTTACAATATGGTGCTCCATGAAATGTGCTTTCTAGATTTGTTTTTCTGGTATTATAATAAATGATAAAGGAAAATTTACCTCTTTTGTGTTTTATTCTGATTGCTAATACACAGTGGAATCTTGACATTTGACCAAGGAAACTTAGAACTATATTTAATACAAAATCCTATGCCACCCTGACTAGATCTTAAGTAATACAAGCAAAGTCCTTTATAAGTGGTGGAACTAATTTACTATCTGATTACTCTCAACTTTTGAGAAAGGTAAGGGGGAGGGAAAACAGAGAGCTACAAGGACAGTAGTTAAGTCTGCACAGAGTTGCACTGTTCAAAAAAACAAAAGTTCTAGAAGAAAGCATGCCAAGCTGTATACAGCACATGAAACCTGGGCAAATTGGTTACGAATGCACCAGCTATAAATGCCACTCCCATTTCAATGTCCAGTCAAAAGATCAAAAATAAAGTTAGAACTACAGCTGAATAGCTGCTACAGGAAAAAAAATCATATGAAAAATGTGCAGCAGCTTTTTAAACAAACACCTTGTGATTTAATTGTATTTTAGAAATTCCCTCTTCTTTGTCATCTTTTGTTACAATAAGTTTTATAGGACCCTGCATCTAAAAACTGCTTGTGAATATAGGTGAGAAAGAACAAAACAAATCACCAAAAGGAAGACCATGAATAAGGTTATTCCATCTAGTTCCCCAAACAGAGATGTTCATTGCAGTATACTTTATAGCCCTTGAAACAATCAAATAAATAACTCTCTCTAGATTATCTAGTTCACATCACAAAAGTAACCCCCAAAATTACTGAAATTGTGAGAATTTTCCTGTAGTCTGGTTGTTAGTGATTATGACCATTATATCATTTGTTGCAATAAGGAGCTACTCTGTACTCTGGAAGAAATAAAAATACCCTTCAGGTATTTTTATTCAGGTCTTGCTTCCTATTTCCCAGCTGTGTAAATCAGGTGAAGGCAGATGTGATGAAATAACAGTTTTATTAGAAAATAGAAACATTAATAAATAACTTGTTAACAAAAATTAGACACTGGATACTCCTAAATATTTTTAAGAGTGTTTTGGTTTTTTTTCTGGAATATATGATGTCCATGGTAGAAACAAACAAACAAACAAACAAACAAACAAGAAAATAGATTCTCTATGGAACTTTATCTCAAGATGATTGACTACTGCTCAAAATCTTACTTTCTAGCAGAATTTCTGAGGCATAATAAACCTTTCGCAAAGAGTCTTCAAACAAAGGACCTAAATTTTGGTTAGAAACATTGATTACAGCTGAGAAAACTCAGTGTATTTGCCTGTGTGCTTCTAATGTTCATGTTAGTGAATCAACGAGCTTAAATGTGTCTTAGAGGGCTAATGTGAAATGGAAACACATTGAATGGGCATCCTGTTCAAATCCTTAAGGCCTAAGGATTTGTAGGTCTTGTTATGTCATTTGACTAGAAAAGGATAATACAATTTAGGTCATATATATGAAACATATGAATATATCAAAAGTTTAGTTGTCTCTAAGTGCCTGTTATATACAATTAAAGAAGTAGCAGGCAGGGAAAATGCTCTTTTAAAGTCAGTATTTCCCATATTTTCCATATGTGTATTTTTGTTTTCCATAGAAAAGTTACTGTGACTTAGGTATTGGTTAGGTGTGCAGGTAATAGGAGGGGAAGTTTTCCTAAAAGACTTATTTTCTTTGGGAATTTATCAGGTTTTGATGTTCTTTAACACCATTCTTTTTTCTTATATCCTTCCTGCACCTGATTTCCCATATTTCTTGAACCTGGTGATGTTTCCCCCATTCAGTCTTTGGTTTTTTGGAGTTTTGTTAAGGCTACAAGAATAGCTGAGGTCTTCATTTCAAGTATGATGTCAGGATGTCAGTTGTCAGAAGGTCAAGTAAGGTATGGGAAAATACAATATTTTGTTCTGCTTATCTGTGTATTCTCAGAGAACATCATTTGCATGGGCTTGTTCTCAACCATAGTTTTCTGCATGCCAGCTCGCAGAGCTAAAACTGGCTTTCTGGACAGATTATAACAACACAAAAAGGCTTTCTGCAGACTGGGAATGAACATACAGGTTTTCAGCTGAACCTCAGCTATCAGAGTTTGTATTTCCCTATGTCTGCCAACCTTTTATAAAAACTCATAACATGCAGAGTGAGGGTCTCTTCTCCTATACATTAGACCTCAGCAGATATCTTATGAGACAAGTCTTTCTGAGGTTTTCTCAGAGATTCACAGGAAATTAGACCAATCCTTCCGAATGAGAAATTGGTAGACTAGACCTGGATATGAAAACGCTGCATAAGAAAGGAAATCTTGTAGCTGATTCTGCTATGGAAGGCGCAGCAGATTTTGGCTAGCTGCAGAAATTGTTTCTTAAATGATCCTTGCAGATCTTCACAGACAGGCTCAACAGCAGTGCTAAAACTGCCCACAGTAGTTCATGTAAAGACTGAACACACCTAATGGAAAATAACACAGCTTTGTCAGCTGTGCTTCTCAAAGCACCTGAAAAACAGAAGTACATCTCTACTACATATTAATTTGATAACAGCCAGGCTGGATGCCTGACTGAAAGTGCATGTAAGCATTACAGCTATTTTCTCAGGATATTTCTCTTGCCTGTCACCAACATCAGTGTACCTCAGTATAATGCTGCTTCTCTGTTGTCCAATACCATGGCAAATAGTCCAGTATCACACCCAGTTCCTCCTGAGTAGATTGCAGTGACCTCTTAATTTAGTCTGTGTGACACTGGTGCTGAGCTGAAGTTCAGGTCATCCCGTTTTTCATTTTTTATATTTCCAAGTCAACAGATCTACAAGTTTCCCAGCAGTATTTTCAGTAGTGGAAGTATACAGTAGGGGAGGTTGGAGAGAAGAAAAGTTCAACAGATTTTTTTTATTCCAATCAAACTTATTATTTAATGTTGATCACAAGAGTTATCTTATTATATGTTTAGTTATGTATGAAAATCTTCATTGTATTTACTTAGAACATCAAATTCTAACTTCAATGGAACTTTCAATATCTGAAAAGAAATTTCACAAGACACAAGTATTTTTTTCATGTTTCAGAAACTGTAACTGGAACAAAATCAGAAAATACTCCTTAAAGTTCATGATGGCTGCTTAGAGTTTTTTCTGTGAGTTGTTAAGGGAAGCATAAAAATAATCACTGTCTGTATCATGATCCGTGTCGATGTGAGGCAAAAGGAAGATTTTCAGACCACATGGCAGTCCTTTGTGGCTTCTAAAGCATTCCTTGATGTTATTGCCTCTGTTTTGGAGTGGATCACCACTCCTTGAGAAAAAGCCTGCTGGGGTGGCCCAGTGGTGAGATGAGATTTTTTCTTTAAAGGACAGAATTTCCCTTTAACTGACCACTTCAGAGCAACAACAGGAAGAAAAAAAGTTCATGAGAACTAGGTAAGTTTCCATTCCCAAACTGACTGCGGAGGAGGAAGATCTTCCTGTTGCGTTTATACTGTTTTAATCAATTTCATGTTTTCTCCCACTACAGAAATGAATGTGCTGCTTCAGTGATATGAACATTTACAATGCCAAAGTAGCCCAGGCTACTTGAATCTTTTTGTGGCCCCTCCCTCCTCCTCCTTTCTTTGTTTGGGGCCAGGTAAATAGATAAGTCATTACTGAGATTGCTGCAGCCTGGGTCATTACCTAGAATACCATCTGCCAGTATTTTGTCAAGCTTCCTTCTTTTAAAAAGCCATTAGATTACATCTGACATTCGTTTATGATCATCAGATATACCACTTCACTTGACAGATAAGTAGGAACCTAACTATTTTTTTTAATTGGGACTACTACCATATGTTGTAACTCATGATATATTTAATCACTGATCATGCTCTAATTAAATGTATCTTAAACCTCTTTGTCTTGTCAATAGAAAAAGAAACCAGATTATGGTACTTTGATGTGGCTTCGGGTTTACAACAGACATATTTTCTTTGACATGCAATAAAGAATTAAATTTGAAAATATATATATGTTATCAAGATATAGCATGCATGCAGGTTTACTTCTGATATTTGGAGAAAAAGAATTGTTGTGTAAAGTTAGTGATACTTAAATTTTGAAGAAAAATTCGGAAGTAGTATTAGTATTTTTATTAAGGAAAAGGGCTTTCACATACTGTCTTAAAGGTTTTTGTGTACATTTGTTGGAATACCTATTTTGAATAGGATATTCCTGTTAAGTGTGTAAGTGTGCTTAGACTATGTAATTTTTACTTTTAACAGAATGAAAGAAAACAGTGCTAAGTTTGAAACTTAAAGACAGTTTTGTATCGCCCTCTTTTTATTTTTCCTATTTTAGTGTGTTAAAAGAAATGCAGTGGAGTGTTCTGAGGATAACTCTATCAGAAATTTAGTCACTACATACTACTTAGTTTGTTTTCTGACTCCTGGCAGCCTGAAGCAGAGATGCACATGAGTCACAACAGAATGCAACAATCAGTGTCTCCTTCAGGGCAGTTTGTAAGTTTACAAATAAGTCCATCATGTGTTTAAAATTTCTTAAGCATTTATGGGCTTAAAAAAATTAAATGTGGTTAACCTAAATACAACTGATATAATAGGACTTCACAGTTCATACTTTCCATTATTCATCACTCTCTTTTGAAACATAATCTTCTGTGAATTTTTTTCCTCAGAAACATTCCAACCATGAACTCTTTCCAAAGTTGTTGGGTTTTTTGTTATTGCTTTTTTATTTCTTTTGTGGAAAATGTCAAGACATTTTACATTGCTATTTCAGAATGTGGTAAAGAATAGAGATACATCCACACAGAGACACACAGACGCGTATTTTTCCCATGGTAAAAAAAAGAAGACATGATCACACTTAAACAAAAGGAGATGGCCATACTAAGCATGAGTGATTTTTTACCTGATATATTGTACATAAAAGCTCTGAAATAGAAATCTTCAGGAAAATTAACACTCATGTAAGCTGTTGAATACCTGCAGATGAGAATTTTTTTCTGAGAGAGCAGCCACATAATGCAAACTGTAATGGTACT